TGAATGTTGATGTAAACCGAACGTCCCCATTTCGCCACTGTTACGATGGTGGAGAAATTATCATCCAGAATTATAACATCGGCACTCTCTTTGGCCACCTGACAGCATGGGAAATATGATTAGTTAAGGGCCTATTCTGTAACGCTTGCTTCATAAGGGACAACAATGAATGTGAAGATATCTGGCAATATAGAGGACTATATATATAATATATACTCACCTCAGTTCCAGCAATCCCCATGGCTAGTCCAATATCTGCCTCGTGAAGCGCTGGGGCATCGTTTGTTCCATCACCGGTGACAGCAACAACTTCATCAAATGTGGTCCGCAAGTGCTGCACCAATGTATGCTTGTCAAGAGGTGAAGATCGAGCCATCACCTACACGAGAACTCAAGTTTCAGCATCACGGATTCATAAACCATACTTGTTAGTCAGTAAGAAACAAACCCCAACGATTATGTTCCTCGAAGGAAAGGGAGCTAGTACCTGAAGTTTAGGAATCAGAGAAAGCAATTCTTCCTGATTCTTCTCCCTGAACTCCGGACCTTCAATGGCTATGCCATCATCGGTGAGAATACCACATTCTCTTGCGATAGCCTTTGCAGTATTTATATTGTCTCCAGTAACCATTCTTACTGTAATGCCAGCTGAACGGCAAATTGCAACTGACTCTTTGACACCGGGACGAACAGGATCCTTAATTCCCACAATTCCTATACAAGTAAAACCAGAAACAGGAATGGGATTCTCTGGAGAGAAACCAGTTTCTAGTTCTGTATACGCAAGACATAGAGTTCGAAGAGCCTCGCAAGCAAATTGCTCAATAGTAACTTTGAGATGGTTGAGGGATGCTTTATCAAGGGGAACAACTTCGCCATTTGAGTTGATCACCTTTTCGCAGCTGGCCAAAACTATTTCTGAGGCACCTTTGGTGTGCGCTCTCAGACCTCCTTCGGGAAGCTCCAAGATTACCCCCATCCGTTTCTTCGTTGAGTTGAATGGCTCGACTTTAACAAGCTTAGAAGCTTGTCTCTCTGCTTGGAAATTTCCACCTAGTGACAAGCCAAGTTCCAACAAAGCAGTATCTGTAGGTGTTCCCAACAGCTCATACTTTCCAGCTTTGTTAACCACAACTTCTCCGCCGGTGTTGTTAAAGATTGATTGTAGCAAAAGTTTCTTAGCAGATTCCGGAAGGTCAGAGAATAACCTAGAGGCCTCATTGGGATTGCTCACCTCCTTGACATTCATGCAAATGCATGATTTTACAACGGTCATGCGGTTGGTTGTTAGTGTCCCGGTTTTGTCACTGCAAATATTTGTGGCTGATCCCATAGTCTCGCAAGCTGCCAGATGACGAACGAGTGCTTTATCATTCATCATCTTCTTCATGGCAAAGGCAAGGCTCAATGTCACAGCCAGCGGCAGCCCCTCAGGGACAGCAACAACAACAATTGTAACTGCAACAGCAAAGAATTCCAGCATCTGCATTGCATCATCTCCATTCCAGCTCCAGTGTGTTCCCTCAGCCAGTTTACGACTAAACAATCCTTGCACCATAACTGCAAAAGTCACAACGGCGAAGAAAAGGCCTATCTTTCCAATAATGGTTGCCACTCCATTCAGCTTCACCTGCAGGGGGGTTTCATCATCTCCGCCTTCGCTCAGAGTCGCCATCAGTTTACCCCACTGGGTTCTCATCCCAACCGTTGTAACCATCATCTTGCATGACCCGTCTTGGACCTTAGTCCCCGAAAGAAGAAAAGGGTTTTCAGGAGTTACCATTATTGGCTCACTCTCACCAGTTAAGCTTGATTCGTCAATCAACACAGAAAATCCTGATACGAAGAGCCCATCTGCTGGCACTTGGTCTCCAATAGAAAGATGCACAATATCGCCAGGCAGTAAATCATAGATTGACATTTTCTGCCTATATCCATTTCTTGTTACTTGCATCGCAATCTTCTTTTTCTCCTTGTCCAAGTCCTTGAACTGCAACGATTGGCGGTAATCACTTGTTGCTGTGACAAGAACAACCAACAGGATACTCGCAACGATTCCAAGTCCATCATGTGCTCCAACTGGCCACCCTTCCATTGCTATCCCAACTACCAGAGACACGAATGCGCACACTCCGAGGATCATAAGAGTCATATCCTGAAGGGCTTCCCAAACAAATACCAAGAAACCCCGTTGCTCACTCTCGGTAAATTTATTGATTCCATAAATCTCCTGTCTTCGAGTGTGCAAGTCTGATTCGGTGTTGAGCCCATCTTTTACTGATGTGGAGATCTTTTCTGCGATGCCATTTACTCCGCCATGAAATTTTAGCTTCTTTACATCGTGGCCTTCAACAATGGATCCCAGTTCATCAGCACAAATCTGAAAACCTGCGTCTGTAACTTCCTTGGGTACGACGTAGTCGCTTGGTTGCACACCTGCAGACATTAGAAATTTAGAACAACTATAAAACCACCTCGTCTTGTTATATGATGAACTGATGATGTTTTATCTTTAATGCCAAATAGACTCACCTTGAATAAATTGAAATGCAGCTTTAGAAACCAAAACAGCAATCCTCAGTTTCTCCTGCAATATTCAAACCAGAAATTTATCAAAAGATTAGTAAAGAATTTGAAGTTGAAAACTATAATTTGAAACGTCTTGGTCGTCTCTGTGTTTGTTAAACAGAGCATGAATGCTCTAGTACGCATGCTATATGATTAATCATGGGAATCATATTGTTTTATGGTCTGTCACCTTCGTATTAATTTATTAAATAATTAGCTCTTGAGCGTTAAATCAATACATAACATCCATCGACTGACAGACGAGATATTTCTAAGAAGAAAAAGAAGAAGAACGAGAGAGGTGAGATGAAATAAAGACCTGATTGGTACGGCGCATAGCAGCAGCCTCGAAACGCTTGGAAAGATTGGCAGTGAAGCGAAACCGCCGTTTCGGATTCTTGACAACGATGCAAAGGTTCCTCCATTTCTGCAACGTTTCTTCAGACGAACCCTTCGGCTTCACTTCCCCGAACTCTTGCAAATAGCTCTCCATCGACCAACTAATTTAACTACCTTTCTTTCACTTCTTATCAAAGCAATTAATTTTATTTTATTCTTTTTATCACAACCTCCTCCTACAGATTAAACACACAGGCATATATATGTAGAGCAAAACGCGTAGGAAAAGCGCTTTTGAGAAAAGGAAGTTTCAGTAACATTTCTGGGAAAGAGGAGAGACAGTGCGGTGAGGACCTGAGAAAATAAGAAAATGGGATTTGTTTTCTTCTTCTCTTGCATTTGTGTGCGGAAAATACGAAAAAACTGAGTGGAGGAAGAACGACTGAGGATCCGAAATTTTGGTGGGAAATTGCATGGCTTGAGAGCTAATAGCGCTTCTTCATCTTCTGCCGCTTATTTGCTGCCCTATCTTTCCTAATATTTGCGCGGTCAACACTCAAACACTAACAGCTGCTAAGTTTTTTACGTTAAATAAAGTTTAGTTTGAATTTGAAGCAATTGATTCTAAAAAAAAATTCAGACCAGATTAAATAATTCTAAACAATTTTAGTGGAACAATGTTTGAAAATCAAAGAAGAAATAATCGACCAAATATCAGTTAAGACAGTTAATTTTGTATCCAAGTTCAATTTCTCTCTGTAGAGCAGTTCAAAACTACGCGAAATTTTTAATTATATAAGAATTTAAGTTTTTTTTATTTTTTTATTTTTTAATAAATGATATTATTTATATTAAGGAGTAGGGGTGGATTTAGCTTCACAATGGGCTAACAATAATGTGGTTCAAATTCGTTTTTGGTAAGAATCGAACTTAAGACTACTTACAAATGAAGATAAATATCATTAAACTGTAGTACTAAGTGGCGGATTTAAGTTTAAGTTAAATGCCCAACATTGTATATTTTTACAACGATGATATTGGAATTTCAAAATCATGATCCTTTTTACATTATCTTCAGGTGGCCTTATGTCTCTACTTGGCTGATGGAGTCCTTCAAACAAAAAGAAAAGTTAATGGAGTCACTATCGTTGTAACGTTGACACAACTATTAATCTGTGTAAGATCATCGAGAAATCCACAATCATCAACGGTTGTGCTCGCGTCTCACACATCACAACCATTTTTTTCTATATATATATATATATTGTGAATTTAGTATTGTAAGTCACATGAGGTACTGATAAAAGAATGTGAAGAATACTACTGAAATTTAAAAGAATAAGATAACGCGGTTTGGGTACTGAAATTTAAAAGAATAAGGTAACTATACCGCGTTGGGTACGCGTATAGCAGAAGAGGGGACCAAGACTTAGCGACAACTCGAACCCATTAATGCGACAAGAATAAAAAGAAAGACCAAAAGCTTGTCCAAAAGTCTACTGCTAACGTTTCACGGCATTGGCAACCACCTTCCTCTTCTTTTAAGTCTATATTGTTTAATTAGGGCATGCTTTTCTGTTGAACTTGCTCGGAATCGTTTTCGTTAAAAATGTTTTTATTAAAAGCACATTAAAATTTTAGGTAAAATTCCAAGTGTTTTATGAAAAAACAGTACCCTATTCTCGTGGACACTACTACAATATTAGCTTTAGGTGGCGGAAGATGGTGACGGATATTAGAAAATCATGTCGGATAAATTATATCCGACACATTATTTAATTAGTGGCGGATATTAGAAAAATACTATCGGTTATATCCGACATAAAATACTAGCTGATATTTAGTGGCGGATATCAAAAAATACTGTCGGTTATAACCGACAGTATTTTTGAATTCTTTTATTAAATATTTTTTTACATATGCTGGCGGTTTTTAAGTAAATGGTGGCGGTTATAACCGACAGAAATTGATTATTTTATTATTTTACTTTTTGACGTTTTATCATTTTAGTGTTCTGGCGGTTATAACCGACAGTATTGGGGGTGGGGGGGGAATTTAAAATTTTGGGAGAGAATTTTTGGGGATTTTTGCCCCCATTTTTGTCGGTTTTTTTGCCCCCACTCAGACGCTCTCTCTTTCGTTTATTCATTATTCTCTATTCACTTCTTCATTATTCTTCTAGATTTTTCCAATTCCTCCTCTGAAATCCCCAAAAACACATACTCAGACCTCCTCTAATGAAAATCCAAATCCAAGCCTAGCGCCATTTAGCATTGCCCCAGACCTCCTCTATCATCATCCTCATTTCTCACCCCTGGCATAGCGATTTCCTCAAAGCTGAGGTTTGCACTGGCGATTTCTGATTTCATTCTCTCAGAGGTAAAGGTTCTCCCCTTTTCTTCTCTTTTGTGCAGGAGATTCGGATCCGTGAAACATCCGAGAGATATGGTGAAGATAACCACTTCATGTCATAGATCCGAGAAGCATGAAGGTTCCAGATCAGAAAAACAAGGTAAAAAAAAAACAAGGAAATGACCGACCAAGATCCCAACGCGCTGGCTCCGACGGCGACGGGGATGATCGTCGATGATACGTACGAGTTCTCAGCTCCGCGCTTCTTCGACTTCATAAAGGACGACAGTGAATACGACAGCGCAAGGCCGAGCTCTGGTTCGATTGCGCTCTCCCTTACGATTTTTTAGGGTTTCCATTTCGCCAAATCCTTCAGATCTTCGCCTCCTCCTTACTAATTTCGTGCCAATTTTCCAATTATCAGGTACGATTAGGGCTTTCTCAAGTCGGTAGAACTCCCATTTTTCTGCTCCACTCGGTTCCCCCTCCAGATCCGAGCCGGGTCTGGGTCGTCGGATTTGCTCGAATCCGAAAATGTCATACCCATGAAGGCAATTTCTCATTTTCTTCGTCCATTTATAATATATATTGAAAATTTATGAGTGATTTGAATTTTGGGGTGTTTGATTGTGTAGATTACAGGGACCAGGAGAGTGGGAAGATTCTGAATTTGGTGTTTGTTTAGGCGGATGAGGGCTCCGAGCTCAAAGTTGATGTCCCTGTTGTATCATCCTTTCTGTGTGTGCGTGGGTGGATATTTACAGAATGTGGAAATGAATTGGAAGGGGAAATGGTAAGTTGATAATCACGTTGTGCGGGAAGGAAGGAAGGAACTGTCTCTATCCCCTCTCTGGCTCAACTTGAAAGGGAAAGAAATAATTCAGAAAGTTTTTATATTTTTTTTATTATTGTTATATTTTCTGTCGGATTTATCCGACAAGAATGCTTTTATTTATTCTTATTCATAAATTTTCTGTCGGTTATATCTGACAGAACTTCTGTCGGTTTTAGCCGACAGAAAATGCTCTAATTTATTCTTTATTAATATTTTCTCTGGCGGTTATATCCGACACAATTTCTGTCGGTTTTACAGTATTTTTTGTTGGATTTTTCATTTCCTGACGCAGGCAATGCTGTCGCTTATTATATCCGTCACTGCATACATTTTCCGTCTGATTTTACTTAATTTCTGACGGTATTAGACGTTTCTTGTCGGTTTTTAAACCGACACTAATGGGTACTTTTGTAGTAGTGGGATCATTGCCTAACAAATCTATAAGTACTTTAAACTTTTTATAAACTTGTTTAAAATGCTATTTATGTTCACGATATGTTTTTAGTCATTCTAGAGGCACTCTTGAACAGACATAAATAAACATGTAACATAATTCAAAAGTTGAAGGAGGGATGCTACTACAATTTACAGTATTCTTCTTGTAACAAACCGTCCCTAATTTTACGATTTTGTTAATTTTAAAAGAATGATTTTGATGAAAATGCCCCTAGAGGCGAGAATGTTGACTTTTGTTGACCATCGTATAGTGAGACATATGACCCATTCTTTTATCGTATTCTTAAAGTACTCGACAGCACGAACCCGTAGGCGCAATTGTAATGTAATTTGGAGTTACGGTTCAAATTTTACAGAACTACAAACGTGATGAGCATTTTGGTAATTTCACATCGCGGAGATATTTTTCTGTTTTGTCTTTTGTGACATTGCTTTGTGAGCCAATGGGGCCCATAACCCATTCTCTCCCCTCTTCCCCGTGTCCTCTAATCTCCCAAACCTCTCTCTCTTTGAACTCCCATTTCTCTCTCCCCCTTTCATCTATCATCTCTCTCTTCTCTTTCCCTCAAACTATCATTCTCTTCTCTCTATAAAAACAATGGAGCTGAGCAACACAACTACCTCGCTGTACTCTGACGAACCTCACGACCAAACCACCACCATATCATCACAATCAACCTCGCGGAAGACCACCACCCATGTACCTAGTTTGCTCAGGACACTTGTGGAAAAATAGAACTGCACAGTGACTTTTATCACTATTCACTCATTTCTTTGACCATGGTGAGCCTCAAGACCCTCAAACCCTTCTTATTTTGAAACTCTTATGTTGTTTTTAACCTTAAAATGAGTTCGGGGGACAATTTGATGCAGACACCGACGTTAACTTAGCCCCACTTTGGTATGGTTTTGTTCTTTACATTGCTAACTTCACATTGGCTTTGAATCACTGAATTTGGTTGAGAATCGAGCTCGAAATGAGCTCTGAAAGTCAGCTATTCAACCTGCAAATCTGCAGGCCTCGCGAGGAAGACACGTGAGGCGCACGTGCTGGTTAGCGCGTGCAGTGTGTGGCTGCATGTGCAGCCACCTGTGATGACACGTGCGGCGGCGGGTGGAGGAACCCGAGGTCCATCCTTAGGTTTCTCGACATGCCAAACCCGAATCTACTGTCTGTTTTCCGAAATTCAACCGTTTTAAAATAGTTTCTTTATTAGCCGTACTTTGTATAAAAACGCATATTTACGTTAGTTCGTTATATATTTACATAAATGATTTCGTTCCTAGGTGAAACGCATTTCAAAGATCTTCGATGCCCACGAGGCAGGTTCGACCCAACGACATGATTTGTGAGTGGGTCTTTGTTTTTAAATATTATATATTTATTTAGTTTCCACTTATATATTTGATAAAGAATTTTCTACATTACAATTAGATTAGATTAGACTAACATTTTTAAGAATTAGCGTATTGGCGAAATTTATAAAATTCTCGTAAATTCTACAGGATGCACGTTTATGCATATTATGATGTGATGCCATGAATATACTTACGGTCACAAATATTATTATTTTATTATGGTGAATTACAAAGTTTCCGTAGTACGATCATATTTATATTTTATACTCGCCAGGGCCAGGGCCAGGCATCACGTGTATGTTCACATCGCATTGTACACTCCCTTTGGATCCATTGTAGGTGCCAGTCCTGTCCTAGATTGCTATAGGCAATTAGGACTCGAAAGTGACGCGCATAGCGTCAGTCTTCACGTGATTGTAGTACTATAGCGTAAATCATTATTACACCCAGTCATGTTCATGTTAGAATACCTATGCACAAACTCGTGTGTCAGCATATGTTGATGAGCACCTGTTAGTATATGTTTATTTATTCAAGATATTGGGGTTACCGAGTGTTATGTGTGTACTTATGAAGTATTGCATCCTCGACGATTTTACTGTTTAAGTTAAGTATTTTCATACTATACGTAGTATGTTATATTTGAAAACTATACTTATTTTATAGTGAGCGGTTATTATGTTTTCGAAAAGGTTTTTACAAAACTTTGTTTTTAGGCCCATTCATCCTTGTTTTTCGCCCCTCTAGGTTTTAGTAGCTAAGCTTTCGTATCGATGAGGATCTTGGCCAATCTTGGTATTGGAGATTACCTTCAATGGTATAACTCTCATTCTACTTTTATTGTGCTTTACTTATTCTCTAACATCATGTGTGAAATAGTTTCATTTCCGCTCACTAGTGCACTCTTACATTTAAGCACTTTTAGGTTTAAATTTACTCACATTTTCCACATCGCTACACTTCATGGCTTTCTCACCCTCCTGGTGTCAGCTAACACAACTCGAATCGAAGTCCAAGTGAACATTCCGAGTCGGGGTGTGTCACTTCTCCTCTGGTAGTGAGAGATCTTAGGTTCGAATCTTGTAGATAGCGAATTTGAAATCAATTTATTCTCTTATAAGACAATAGCGGGCAAGGAGACGAGCTACATCATTGGCTTCGTGACATATATAAGAAGTAGCTCTAGGCCAACCCTCCATGGCCACTAGTCGTTAGTGGCCATTAACATCAATAGCCACAGATTTGTATGTGGTTATAGATCAAATTCTAGTAGAGAATCCCACTTAGCACTTTTGAATCATCCCCAATCTGTCCAACACTAAACATTTTAATAGTGGGGATGTGAAACGTCGTAAAGAATTGGAGTGAATCATTTTCTAGAGAGAAGTTTGAAAATCTCATTTTTGTCGCCAAATAAGACCTTCTTGCATGGTCGCACCGCTAGGGGCTTCTTCAACCCAAATTATAGTGGGAAATGTTTTTTTTTTTTTTCTCCCAACCTTGCTTGAATTCTAGCATGAATTGTTGATTATCTTTGAATAAGTACGCAATTGGGTTGCCACTTAGTACTACGGTCTAATAGTATTCCTCTTCACTTGTAAGTGAGGTCTTAGGTTCGATTCTCATGAAAGGAAATTCGACCTACATTATTGCTAGCTCATTGTGAAACTAAGCTCACTCCCCCACCCCTTTAATATAGATAATATCGTTTATTAAAAAAAAAAGTACGCACTTCTTCCTTATTTATCATCTTGTAAAAAATCTTAAATTCTAATAGTCAACCCATTAATTCTTTTTGGGCCTCTAGTGTTTCTTGGCTGGATCAGCTTTTTACTCATGTGGCTTCATATCTTATAGCCGAATTTGTAGCACTTACATTTTATAAATTAACGAAAATCTATAAGTATCAAGGGGTGCAATCAATTGGAACTTTGAGGGATTTTAATGGATTTAGGATTTTGATGGAGTTTAATTGATTTCTAGAGATTATATGTAAAGTTTTGAGTGAATTCCCTCAAATGAGCTTTGAGACTGCTTAAAATACACTATAAAATCTCTCAAATTCCCCAACTTTTTAAAATCCTTTAAAACCAATTTCTAATTGAATACACTTGGAATGTTATAAACTCATTTAAAATCCTAATTGAATATACCTAGACTTTCAAAGAATTACTTAATATCCTAATTGAATATCCTTAAATTTATAAAAAAGAATTAAATCTCTTGAAATCCCAATTGAATACACCCCCCATCATCCAATTTATCATAATGTGGAATAATGGGATTTTGGGTGTTAGAACTTTGGTTTGTTATTTTCCTCTTTAAATCTTATATTTTGGATAGAAGTTCTAACGATGTTACTAAAAACAAAAGAATTGCTTTTATATTCTGATAAAGTTTAGAGATCAAAACTTTGTATTTCAGAGATTAAAGTTTTAATTGAGTTAAAATTCAAAGACCCATAGTCTAATTTTCTCATAATTAGACTATCTCCAAATGAGATGTAAAATTTTAATCATTAAATTTAAATTTACCAGGTTATGTAGCTCTTTGACATTAAAATTTGCTCTCCAATGTGTCAAATTAAACTATATTTTATTACATTTCTAATTTTGGTACGAGAATTAGAAAACTTGTAGATTTAACACGTGAAAGTTAACTTTTTCCACAACGAAAATACACGGACTCTTATTCAAACAGACATTACAACCGAACAACATTTTTAAGACACCACCAAATTCCAACTGCAACAGAAACCTCCACTCGAATTCTGCAGATGGCTTGACCTTATATGTACTCATTTAGTTTTGGGGGTGACGAGATCATAGCTGTTTTGGAGGAGATCATCATAGTGGTCTCTCGGTCCTGTAACCTGGCTAATCTGGGGCATCACAACGGAGCTGCGAATTGTGGCACTCAACTTTAAGTAAATATATTATATATTGTATAAATAAATGCTTATTTATATTATAAAAATACATATTGTATTAGGATAAAAAAAATTGCAAAATAAAATGACATATAGATTAAAGTATTTTAACATATTGAAAATATAGGGAACATGACACACCCGGAAAGTCAAATTGGACTCCGAATCGAGTTATACTGGCCGACAACTGGAGGGTGACGAATCCATAAAGTGTAGTGTAGTGGAAAATGTATGTGAATAAATTTAAATCTAAAAGTGTTTAAACAAAAGAGTGCGCGGGTGAGCGGGATTGCTCCCATTTCACATGTAATGGTAAAGCATAAGAACAGTACAGTAATTATGGTGAGGGTTATACCACTAAAGATACCCATCTACTAAGATTTGCCAGAATCCTCGTTTACACGTAAGCATAGCTACTAAACCTGGAGGGGCGAAAAACAAAGTTGAGTGG